GTTTATGCTCTGATATGTTTACATGATATTGGTAAACTTTAGTGTAAGTCAAACTTCAGATACATGTAAGTTACTTGTTATTGTGATGACAGCTTTAATACAAGTTAAGCTTTATTCAGTAGTTTTATTCGTACTGTTACGGATACGGACTGTTCCCCGTTGCATTTTGTTATGTTGGATTACTATTATACTTATACATTGTTATATACAATTATATATACATTGTTATATCTGTAAACTTCAGGAGAAGTTTTACTTGTTGTAGGGGGGAAGAGTGTAAGGATCTAATATGCTGAACCATAGAGTCCCCCCTATGGGAATGGTATAACCTGCCACCCCCGGTGGCGAGTAGGCAAGTCCACTAGGAACCAGTTATATCCAGTTGAGTTAGAGTTACCCACATGTTCTGAAGAATACATACAGATCTACAGTACTCCACTCGTCTCTTCTGCTCATTCCATAAACCCTGGGATTGGATCGTTACACTATTACTGAACTTGGTGTTGTCCCTAAATCTGTGCCATGTAGCCTGTAAAAAGGGACTATTAACATATTTAGTTAAACTTCTGTGTTTACCTCAGGTAACCTAAAGAAGACGTGCAACCCTAGTGTTCCACCAATTAACCCTTAACTTCCTATAGTGTCCTTGAATTGGATGTTGGGTGACCTTGTACTCTAGATGGACTGCTCATGTCTTTCTCAGTGTTGAAATTATACGATTAAATATAGATATTAATTATCAAATCAACCGTTAATATAGTTACTTCATCTACTCCGTGACATTATTCTGTGTTCAACCTTCATCCTTCATGGCCACCTTATACCCTGGAATCCAGAACTCGTTTTCCGGGCCGCAAGAGCCCTTCGCCCGCTGGTGTAAATTGCCGCTACGGGGGAGTCTAGCCCGGGGGGAGAGCCTGGTAGGGCCGAACAAACCCCTCGGGCGCAACTCCCCCGTAGCGGTAATTTAGATAGGCGGGCGAAGGGCTCGGCTAACGGCCCGATACTAGTTTGGCATCCAGGTGTAATATTTGCCCCCAAGATTTCATAATCAGAAGGCAGCTTTTTTTGGCCAAACTTTTTTTTTATGCGCACACTCCAATCAGTTTTGGGGTTACCAGAGGATGTCATCCATATAATCAAATCAACATGGCCTATTAAAGTAAATGGGCAAGATCATGGTGTCAAGGAAATGGCAAGATGTATTGTGGGAGTTACAGTACTCTCCAAGCAGAGGTTTGGGTTTGGGGTTGTTTTTGGCGTGTTTTTAGGCTTTTTATCGGGGTTTCTCTTTTGCACTGGAATTATTTCTCACCCAACAAAAAAATAATTCCAGTGTAAAAGAGAAACCCCGAAAAAAAAACTAAAAACACGCCAAAATGATAACCCCAAACCCAAACCTCTGCTTGGAGAGTAAGTTACAGCACCCTATAGATAATCATCATCATGGCTGCCGCGGCGGGCATGGTACACCGTGCTTCTCAAGACAGTGCACTTCGTCCTCGTTCTTACCAAGACGAGAGCTATCTGAACGGGTTTCTTGGGACTCTGGGTGATCTTCAGAGGACTGGGGTACTGCAGGATGTCGTCCTTGAAGTCGAGGGCCGGCGGTTTCCCTGCCATCGGCTTGTTCTGTCCGCGGCCAGCCCCTACTTCAGAGCCATGTTTACAAGCGACATGGCGGAAAGTCGGCAGAACACGGTTATTTTGCAGGTAAGGCTGACATTTTAAACCAGAGACAAAACAGGCAGAATTAGTAAATAAAAATAAGAAAAAAAGGTCGAGAACGGAGGAAGGGGAGGGGACTGAGAACCCTCCCCAAATATATTTGTCCAAGCTGTCAACTGGCTTCACTGATAACAAAAAAAATTAACTTTTTTCGAAGGCAGTTTGATAGCCTGGATGCCAGACCCATAGTGCACTGGACACAAAGTATCTCAGTGAGCCAGTGATTTAGGATTTTAGGGACAACTAAAGAGATACTTTGGGACATTTCTGGGACAATAGAAATAATCAACATCAGAATGTCAGCCCTACTTTTGTTGATCAGGCACACGTCCCAGCTTTTGGCTTAGGAAAAGCCCCCCAAATATGTTGTCTACACTGCAATTATAGCCCGCCTGGGAGTCAGAACATAACTAAAATAAAGTTGACTTAAAGTTGCTGCCATCCAACTTACTTAGTTTACTAGTAGTCTAGTACTTCCCGAAAAACAGGTTCGGACAGTTCCACCTCACTTTAGGATAGTTGAAATATATTTCAGGGCAGTGCTGGGACAGTAAGAAAAGTTAATTTTGAGGCCTGTACCTATTCAATCTTCATTTTTAATTTATGTACTTACAGGGTTTTGATGCAGACATGTTTGCAGCACCTGTACCAGGCAGCTGACCTCCTGCAGCTGGACTATGTGAGAGACACCTGCAGCAGCTACATGGCCATGAGTGTTGAGTGCACCACCTGTGTGCACCTGTACAAGTTTGCTGATGTCTTCTCTTTGGATATCGTCCTGAAACGTTGTCGGCAGTGGATCTGTAGGCACTTTGCTAAGGTTGGTCTCTTCAATATTAAAATTAAATATTTAGGGCTTGAAATCCCTTTTCTGCACACCTGCAATGGTGCAGCCAGGTAACTGCACCAGACAAAGTTTACCTGCACCACTCAGAAATTAAACAAGTATGGATCATAAAAAAATTGTTCGGAAACCATTGAAACCAGTGTCAGTTCAGAAATTCCTTTTTTAAAAATGTATATAAAATGCTGTATGTATAGTTTGTGTTTCTATGTTTGTACCGTGGTTGTTTCCTATGGGTGAAATACCGGAAATAAAGACATTCATTCATTCATTCGTTGCCATAATTTCCTTTGTTAGTTTTTGAACATACGCCTGCGCTAACCTGCAAATGTATGTGGAATTTCCAGCCTTGTACATGTATTTACAATGTCTGCTGTAGCAGCCAATTTGATGCAGAAGTGGAAAAACAAATTTCCATCTCCACCCATCAAAATATTCACTTATTACTCTCTAGTAACAATATCTAAATGACAATTTGACAATGAGAAAACCTTCTTTCAGCTTCTTTCACCAAATGCGTACATACAAATGAAGTGTGTCTCAGCTTCTGACTGTGGTGTAAAAAGCTTCTAGATTGTATGCATATACATTATACAATACCGTGAAGTCATTCAATTTTGCACTTGTTTCACTTTGCAGCAAGGACATAGAGACAAATGTTTTGTCTGTGTTCCAGACCCACAGTTGAAACAGTTCTGTTGTACAGTAGTGATACAATGGAACACATGTTTGCAGTGTCATAAATTTGTGCGGGAGAGATCACAGCAAATAAAAACATCCTCAGATTTACCTTATTAAGATCCACAGTGTCACATTTGTTTAAGCTTGGGCCATATACAATGCCTTTATTTTATGGATGACATCCATGCGCGCATTCCTTTTTGCCTGTTCTCAAAAAAAAAAAAAGATTATGTCCGTCCTCCGAGGCTCTGGCCTGGCTCTAGGCCTGGGTAGTCCATAGTAGTTAGCGACAATACGGAGGTGGTAACTCTGGAGGACGGCACCCAGGCTGCCGAAGCTCCACGACTCAAGAACTCAGTACATACGTACAGTGCCGATTCATAAATTCCATAAAAAGCCGGCTTGTCATATATGTTTCTATGTACTGCCGTAAATTCACAATACTGGCTTTGTATTCCTGTGGTTTAGTAGCATTTTTATTTTTGGTCGGAATTTTTTTTTATTCGCCCGTGCGCACTAGTTTGGGGGTCTTCAGAGGATGTCATCCATAAAATTAAGGCGGTGTAGCCTTATTTTTCACGTCCACAGGTTTCCTCCAGTGAGGAGTTCTGCAGCCTGAGTGTGGATCAGCTGACTGAGATCATCAGCCATGATGAGCTGGATGTTGAAGAGGAGACAAGAGTGTGGGAGGCTGTGGTGAGATGGGTGCAGCACAGCAGGGAGGACAGGTGGGTATAACTAATGATTGGCTGAGTGTTAATATAGAACACAACACGGGGTATTCGGATCGCCCGAAGACAGGAGGGCAATCCGACTCGCGGGAGGGCCGGGACCGAGGGCGATGCGGAATACACCGTGTTGTTTTTTATTTATGTCATACCTACCCAAGAAAACACACCTTTCAATGCAAAATGATCCAAAAGTTGATGTCCCTAAACCCAAAAGTGCTACAAAATCAGTTCCAACGTCCGGATTCTGTATTCGAATTTTCGAAAGCGGCGCATATGGTTAGGGATAAACGTGTTCTAATCGTTTCATGGAAGCCCGGGCCGTACCGTAAAGTATGGCCCGGTCCGGAACCCGTTATCGAACGTTATCGCGGCCCGGGTATGATATAATACAAAACATTGCATCAGGCCACAGCAAGGAAATCCTGTGGATAGCATCAGTGAAAACACTGATTTTCACCTGCTTGAAAAATATAATTCCACTCAAGAAATGATCAATATGAGAAGAAAATACCAAAGATAGGAAAATTTTATAGTCTTGAGTTTACTTGTACAATTAGTGACACTATCGTGGTACGCATGAGCGTACGTGTACAAGTTATACTATTGTAGATGGTATAAGTGTTACAAGTGTGGTAGCCTTGGGTGTAGTTGTACTACTAAGTTATAGAAGGGCCATGAGATAAGTGTAGTTGTAGATCACTTAAGTCCTCAAACACAGAACCTGCAGCTTTACTTTAAATCCTATCAGAGAGGACATCTCTTACTGAAGCTGATCATGAGTCCAGGGATGCCTTAATGACAAAGGCTCAGCAATCATGGATCTGCCAGGCTTTCGAACCCAGAACCTAAGGATACGATGCAGACTCTTTTGAGCAATGTAAGGCCACACCGACTTAATTTTATGGATGACATCCGCGCGAGCATTGATTTTCGCCTATCGCCCTAAAAAAAAAAAGATCACGTCCACCGAAGCTCTGGCCTGGCTCTACGCCTGTGTAGTCCATGGTAGTTAGTGATAATATGGAGCCGAGAACCCAGGCTATCGAATTCGAAGCTACATGACTCAAGAACTCAGTACACACGTACAGTACCGATACTTGAGTCGTGTAGCTATATATTCATACATTCCGCAAAAAGCCAGCATGTGCCGGCTTGTCGTATACGTCTCTTAAGTACTGCCGCAAATTCACAATACCAGCTTTGTACAGTATTCCTGTGGTTTATTTTTAGCCAGAATTTTTTTATTCGCCGGCGCGCACTAGTTTGGGCATCTTCTGAGGATGTCATCCATAAAATTAAATTGGTGTGGCCTAATTGTAGTTGATAACATGTACCCTGCAGACTGCACCACCTACCCAGCATCCTCCCACACATCCGATTTAACCTGCTGACCTCAGATGACATGGCGGCCATCTTGGATCACCCCCTAGTCAGGGAGGATCCTGGGAGGTTTGTCATCAGGAATGTGGTCAAGGAGACTTCCAACCTACCCAGGAGAGTGGGGATGGGCTCCCTGGAAATGGCACTGCTTTTCAATACAAAGTTCGTACTCATTACAATTACATCTACTTGACTAGGAAGACTTAAATCTGGTGGACATTTCAGTGACTGTCATATTCTATGGAATATGACATCTTGTGGTTTCGCGGTTTCGCTTCATAGGGCAATGGGCATACTTCATACTGAAGCTAGATGTCGCTGCTGCAATGTGAAGAATGCAGTCCCAAATGTGACTGGGTTCATAACCTCTCACATCATATTTAGAATAAATTGTTAATTACTACAATGGGAGTATTTGTTGTCCTCTATGTCTGTCACATTTGCCCTGTTCAGTCTATTGCTGGAGTTATATGCACTCAATCATGTTTGGGACCACAATTTCTTTAGTATTACAACTGTCAGCAGAAGTGACACCTACCTGACATGAATTTTCTGATGTTTTATCTAAAGTATAGTATACAAAGGAAAATACATTCCAAATTTGCTCCAATGATTGTCAAAGCCCATTCTCAACCCATACTACACATTGTATTATGTAGATTAACTGTTACAGTAGTTATGTACCAATAGATGTCAACTTTGTACCTTGTACAGTTGTTGTGCAATAAAGTTTATATTTTGTCCCCTCCCCAGGACCAATAAGATACTCTTCATGAATCCAAGGGCAGGGAAGTACGTCAACTGCAGTTACGATCCAGTCAGTCTGCCTCCAGGAGCCCTGGCCATAACAGCTACCAGCAACAATGATATTTATATCCTTGCCAAAGAGCCAGAGGTAGATGATCACTTGTACGTGCTCGAGTACAACCATGCCGATAATACATGGGACCAAGCTTGTACATCCCCAGTGTATAGGCCAGACAAAAACCTTTCGTTGCTTAACGAAAACTTCCTTTTTGAAGTTGATAAGATCTTATATCACGTTTATGTGATAGACACAAGAAACAGCACTTTGGTGCAGATCAGAAAGTACAACTGGTGTACAGACCAGTGGCAGGAGTGTTCGCCGCTGCAGTGTGGTACAAGACACAATAACTTACTAACAGTGTCCTGTGGTCCACACATATATTTCCTCACGAACACAGAAATGCATCGCTACGACCCAAACCAGGACTGTTGGTGCAGGAGAACTCCACCGCAAACCATCCCCGAGTTCTGCACAGCCGCTGCACTGGGAACAGAGATCTTTGTACTAGATGCCTGTTGTTACACGTTTATGTCGTATGATACAGAGTTAGACTGCTGGCAGACACAAGGTGACCTGGACTATCATGTAGGACACTATAACAACCATCTTCCCCGTCTCTTTGTCTTGGAGAACCAGCTGTACGTATGGGTAGAAATCCAAGATGCTGTCACAGACACCCCAGAAGGCGCTCTCATCCTTGTGTATGACAGGTCTGCAGATACCTGCTGGAGGGACTTGGAGGCCACTGTGCCTACTGTAAATGATATGTTGTGTGGTTCCCTGTGCCCTGCAGCACGTATGTACCTTCCGTGGCTACATGGGAAGGGTATGGGCAAGTAAAGTACAGTAGGCTAACAAGTAAAGACTGTGTATTAGGATTTTCTTTTAGTTTTACACAACCAATAATGTCTTTCATCTGCAGAAATTTCTATGTTTATCCGACACCCTCCTCAGACTGCAGTTCTTCTTCTTGCCGCAAGGTGTGGCTGATATACTCGCAGGTGCCACTTTGGCAGTGAGAACACAATCCCAAGGTGGCTAAGCTTGTATCCCCCCTAATCCCGGTTCATCACTGGGGTTGACTTTCTTATCCAGACTGCTTTCTTTATCCACCGGGTACGTTGGTTGTTCTCGAGAGTTATGTGGTTCATCACTGCCCAAAAAAAATCCCAAATGCTCTATGTTGTACCAACCTGATGAAATTGTTTTCAGAAGGGTAAGACTTAATGGTTGGCAAATTGGTCATAGAAGGTATCCTCATCATAGCTGCAGTCAATTCAATACAGATGTGAATGTACTCCTTGAATTTAATTATAGTTTCATTAGGTTGGATAACAATGTTCTTTTTTTCACAACCAAGTGTTTACCTCCTCAAGGCAATACTTGGCAATGTAGGTAGGTGTTGCTGCTGCAATGAGCAAAACACCAATCCTGATTGTATGCAAACAAAGAGCTATGTTAACTGATATGATGGTACTATTTAGAGGACTTTGACCATTTGTGGCTGATTAAAGCTTAAGCCGATGGTTATGAGTAGTGTACATGTATTTTGCACTTGTACTTCGCTATTTTCTTAATACTATCATAATGCTATTTATTGTGCTAAAGGTCCTGTTGTGTTTAATACAGTGTATACATGCACATGTATAAGGGATGTGTAAGCTTTACAGTGTTAAGTCATTGTTTTTATACTGTGAGTCATTGAATATTTAATCTTTACCTTCACTATAAATTACTAAGTTCCACAAGCTCTAAATCATCAATGCTCAATAAAGCCACACCAATTTAATTTGTTGGTTCTCGGATTCGCCTCTTCATTTTTTTCTGATTTGCAAAAAAAAAAAAGATTCTGGTTCTGAATCAACTAAAAAATGCTCATATTTTGCCCCCAACAGTTGAGGAAATTCCTTTTCTTCCTAGTTGTTACAGTTTTTTTCCATCTATAAAGGCAGTGGTTTGATTAAAACGTTCAAAATTTGTACTTTAAATTTTAACCCAGCCTTTTTTGTTGACTTCATGGCTCATATTGTAGCATTTGGGGCTATAATAGGATGCCTAGACCTGTTTTTATTTTATTTTTTTCGCCCTGTCGCTTCATAATTTTTCTGAAAAAATCCGAGAACCAACAAATTAAATTGGTGTGGCCTAAAGAATGGATTAAAAAAAAAAGAACCTACAGCTTCTCTAGTTATGTTCTACCCAAAATATTCAACCCTCTGCAGCAATGTAGGAACATAACAGGATAATCATTTTCAAACTTCACAATTAAGAAGTGCATAAAAAGCCTCCTGCAGTACTGTTGCAAAATGGTAGGTAGACAATTTTTGACCTTGACATTCACTTTTACAACAGCTACTCACATACCAAATATCAATAACATCCATCAGCAATTTCTAGAGGTATATTCGATAGACGATATATTCATACAGACCCACACTACAACCACTCAACCAAGCCCAAATGGACAACATACCCATCTGACGAAGGTAACTACTTGTAATACAAGAGATGCTAGATGTCACTGCTGTACTATAGGGGTGCCACCCAAAGTTGAGCTTTCTATGGTTTTGTTTAATAGACAATTTCTCTGTTCTAAATTCTAACTTAACCTCAGAAGGTAAAGTTATGCTGACAACAAAGTTGCGGAAACACACAGACACGCTGGTATTTTACATGAACTTCATGAAGAAACTGTAGCACATGTAACGTTACAAGGTGCAATATATTTGAGGTATATGTAAATGCAGTCTTTAAGTTCACAGACCTGGAAGTGTTTTGGGTTTTCATGACTGTATTGGAACCGTAGAGGGGGTTGTATGATGCTTCCTGCATAATATGAAACCGAAGCTATCAGGACAGAAAGACAAACCCAGGACTCGGCCACCCAAAACAATACATCCGTCCCCTGAAGTAGTGATCAAACATTTCATTCTAAAAATGGAAAAAGTTGTAAAGTCTGTAGAGTTATGTTTGTTGTAAGCTATTTTGATACGCTATCCTCAACCTGGTCAATTTTAGGTACAAAGGGTCTGGTCCATTGCCAGTGTACGCGTCATGTCCGCAGCTCTTCTTGTGTCCGACAGTCCAGTGTTGTTTCTGACAGTCTCGGCTGCAGTACCGGGTCAGCTTGCACTGGGCACACAGCTTCAGGGTGGACCTGGGGAGGAGAATAACAGTTACAGAAGCTGTTCAGGACTACGGTAGAATTCATAAAAGCTTTTCAACTGTCCATTGTAGGTTACAAACTTTGATTGAGACATTCAGATGGAACAAGAGATGTAACAATTGCAAGGCAAATGCATAATGTTCAAGACTTTATATGGTCTAGCCTAACAAACTACTGCTCTATTTATTTGTATTCAAACAAATTCATGTACATGTATATGGTGACCAGCCCCTCCAACTCTGTTCTGCTACATAATGTATATAATACCACACCCGTCACACACACACACACACAAATACTACAACAATGTACAAACATGCACACACAAACATACATGTACATGCACATACACACTGACATACAAACACATATACATAGAAACACACACATACTGACATACACACACACACACTGGCTCACACAAAACACGCGCACACACTCAAAACACACACACGGACACACCTTACACCCAGAGGTAACAAAACCTACCTGTAGCCCGGTTTGCCACATGTAGGGTTGCAGCATCTCAGCAGCTTGGTCTTCAGTGCTTCTTCTATCAGCCCCAGCATCTCTTTACGTGCACAGTCCAAGTCTTCGCCCTTCATGTAAAACTCACAGTACCTAGTGGAAAATGGGACTCATTAAGGGAGCAGGAAATACGAGATTTCAGACTTCAAGTTTTTTTGATTTTGGTGACCTTTAGGCTCGCCCGATTTCCCTTGCCTGACCTTTTGACCTGTCATTCTCAATCTGCCTGCTGGTATCTTCACCCCACCCACGTGCTGTCAACCTACTCTCTACTCAACCCCCATTTCCAGTGTTTGGCCTTTTGACCTGTCGTTCTGGCTGTCAATCTTTCCACCACCAATGTGCTGCCCACAGCTCAGCGACCCAAAATAATACTTTCCTATCAGTCAAAACAGTCGAATACTAGTATATGGCAGTGTTCTCGCCAGGCCTTTTCCTATGCTGTAATCTGGACCCCCTATGCTGTGATTTGGACCCCTATGCTTTCTTTCAACCAGCATAAATCTTGCATAAAATGAAAGTATAACTTTAGAATAAAGCTATAGCCTTAACTTCACAAAATCTGACCCTCAATAAACAAGAAATAGTGTCTCAGGGGGTTGTGAGTTTCAAATTTCCTGCTCAATGCGCAACTTGTGCCACAAAATTTGTTCTTCTGTACCTGACCCCTATGCTGTGAAAAAATGGTAGTGAGAACCCTGTATGGGACACTTACCTCTTGGCCGCCACACCCTGATCGTCGGTCAGATCAACTCTCGCCCCAAGCTCGATCAGTTGCCGACCAGTGTCCACTTGTTTGTACATGATGGCAACCATGAGTGGGGTTCTCTGGTAGGCATCCCGGACGGCTAATGTTGCCCCATGATGTACCAGCAACTTCACTACTTCTGTATGCCCTGGGTTGGAGTTGCAAGGTGAGAAATACGCATCAACCAATGTTACATTCCAGGGCGTAAGAAATATAATACTATCATGTCAGAAATTTTGTTTTAGCGTGTTTTTCAGATCACAAATTTTGTTTCACCGAAAGACGGTTCACATTTTAATTCTCAACTGTTTCAGCTATGACTGGCATATTTCTAGCCAAGCAATTTTTTAATTGACAGCTTACCATTGCCCGCTGCTGCATGAAGGGGGCCACATGATATCTGCTTGGTTCTCTTCGATACGGACGCCCCCTGGCGGAGCAGCAGTCTTGCGATGTCGACATCCCCGTTGATGGAAGCATGTAACAGCGCTGTGATCTCATCATCCTCATAGTCAATGTCTGCACCTGCGTTTGAGAGAGAGACAGAGAGAGAGAGACTGGTTTATTTGTACCATACAAGTACACACAAAAGCCTGTAAGCTGCCATATTCGGCTGAATTGAGAAGGCTTTAAAACACAAAATGCGCAGCTATTTGATAAAAGTTCGTTACATTTGATAAAAACCTATTTGTTGCATATCAAATTAACATTAAAAATTACGGTACAATACCACACGTTAAAAGTACAATAATGCAATATAAAAACAGTTGATTCAATGCTTACTTTAAGTTAAAATTACAGAAAAAATCTACAGTTGTAATATGCAAGGGTTGTTTACGTAAAAGCTGATGAAGTGGATCATTTTTCATCGTTCAAGAGTAGTGGTTTTCCTGTGGCACTTCCTGGACGTGCCACAGAAAAATGACGCGCGGCACCGCGTGTCTGTGGCGGAGGTTGTTTACACGATAAAAAATCTGTCGCACAGAACCGTTTTACGCCCAACACATATAAACACGTGTGAACCGGGCCTAACATAATAATAATTTACAAGGCTATCCTAATGGCATTTGTGAAGGAGACTAGTGCTGACAATAGTTATTGTGACGCGAGCTCGAGATTAATTAGAACAAAAGGCAAAGTGGTCCAAAACAGTCGTGCTAGTCTTCCCTTTTCAGCCCGAGCTTGTATGTAAATTTTTTGCACAGTCGGTGAAAGATCAAAAGGTGTCGCTAGTGCACTGTACTTCGCACTTCTGCGCGAGTCCTTATCTGTTGATCTACATATTCAATAATCATCTAATTGTTCGAAGCCCTGTTTTCAAATTCAATCGGATTGAGACGACGAGAAATAAAGTTACCTGACAAAGAAACTGCAAATGCAAACAGCATGCAGCACTTATAAAATAAATGAAGCTATACTACTGAAATATTACGTACTACAAAATTATACAAGGAAGAAATCATGCAAGTTCTCTCCATGCAGAGGTTGGTGGAGAAGAATTGCTACTATTCGCTCAGTTTTATGTCGCTACGCTCCACTTGCCAGAAAACGGGGGTATGATTTATATAGAAAGAAGAAGAAAGACCACAATCGTCCTCCTCAACCTCTGCTTGGAAAGTGTTACGCGATGCACGAGTGGCGAGGCATCTGTTTTAGATTGCGAACAGTTCCGGGAGAAAACAAGGCTGATAATTAGAACGTAGCCTGGTTGACAGACCTATAGCCGACTAGACACAAAGCATCTCACTGAGATACTTTGGTCGTGTGTCATGGGTTTGGCACCCAGGCTAATTGAACGGGAAAAACAACAGTGGTTTTGTTTGGAATAAAATGGTTGTATGGGTTATGTGTGGTCTCTAGCTCACCGGGTCAGTGCTTCCATGGAGTTCTACCTCCCCCTCCATGGTGCTTCAAAACACTGGTAGTATCAGACCAGAGCGGATTACAGTTTGAAACATACGCCACAGGATGACTTGTAGAGGCTAGCGAAGAAAGATGTGCTTACCGGCTTTCAGAGCATCTTTAACGCCTTGTAGACAGCCGTTCCGAGCAGCGTACAGCAGAGCTTCATTCGCGTCTTCCGCCATGTCGTCAGGACCGCTGTTGTGGGCACAGCTTGCGCGCGTGTTGTTGTTCTGTCAGGACTCAGAAGTGAGAGGAATTTGTCACGTGGGGTATTGCAGGGGGTACGAAGGACCAAAACGAGAATAATTATGCTCAACGAAGGAACTGAATTCAACAGAGAAGGGACTAATTTCAAGGGCTGTGCTCAGTGGAGGCGCTGTGCTTAGCGAAGGGAGGCCAAGGGACTGTGCTCTGAGTGTTGATGCCCTAACATCCCTAGTTATAAAAGATATCGCACCATTTTTTCCTTTTCCAATCAGGCCCGACAGTGTTGTAGTTTATGCAACAACCGGATTCAAAATAACAATCATGAACTTTCAAGATGATTGTTATAAAGTAGAGGATTGAATGACGACCTCTATTGGGCATTTCGCCACCCTTAGTATAGGTCACAACAGAACAAGACTAAAATAAGGGAAGAATATAAAGATTAATTGGCCATGAGCTCGAGAGTCAGTCCACGCACGGAGGTAGACTGGTCCACGGGATAGTTAATTTCCCCTAGTCTCTACCGTGCTTCGGAAGTGGCTGAAAAGAGCAGAAATTTGCTGACAAAAAAGATAAATTTCTACTCCCACCAGCGCTTCCGAAGTCTGGGTAGTCTCAGACTACATTTCTAATCTAATCTACAAGCAGATCAACACTAAACCCAAGCCCCGCCTACTACTCTCCAAGCAGAGGTTGAATGGGAAGATTGTGACCTTTTTCTATGCCCCGTTTCTTTCTGACAGCCGGCCCATCCAACTTCGGTGGCCGGTTGGATACTGTCGGCCGGCTGGATACTGTCCGCGCGTTGGATACTATCTTTTTTGGCCACCAAAAGATCTGCTTGGAGATTAGCTGAGAGCGGCTGCCTTCAGGGCGTTAAAAAAGCCGCTCTGGACGCTGGTTATAACATTACGATTCGTATAAAGATGATAATATAGTAACATGTGAATTTTCATATAAAGGGTTAGGGCAAACTTTGAGGCTGGAATAGCTACACTGGTCAAACTTGTAGGGTTTTTCTTTTATGTGGTTTCTCATATTTTTGGCTGCCACAGACTTTTGTTTGTTTATGTGTTTATGTGAATAAACCAGTCATCAATAACAATCATGAACTTTCAAGATGATTGTTATAAAATTGAGGAATAAATGACGACCTTTATTAGGCATTTCGCCACACTTGGTTAAGTTGGCTAAGTATAGGTCACAACAAAAGAAGACAAGACGAACAGATACATATACATGGTCTATTTGTATTTCATTACGGCTCCACGCACTGTGAATGATACACACGATGCAGTACTCTTCAACCAAACCTTATCATCAAAAATTTACAAATTTGCAGCCGATCTAAGCCAAGCTATATATTCTGGAATGCGGTACTTTTTTGAAGTGACGTGATCCATGTATATGTTTTCATAGTGCGTAGAGCTAGCTCCACCAAGGAGCCAGTAAAACAGCTAGGAGAAGCCAGAAGGGCTGCACTGTTACTCTCCAAATAGGTTTGGGTTTGGGGTTATTTTTGGCGTATTTTGGTTTATTTTCTTTTTGCGATGGGACTTTTTTGAGTGAAAAAAAATTCCATTGCAAAAAAGAAACCGCGATAAAAAAGCCTAAAATTAAAAACGCACCAAAAATAACCCCAAACCCAAACCTCTGCTTGGAGAGTTCTGCATCGTGTGTATCATTCACAGTGCGTGGGGCCGTAATAAACCTCCAAGATTTACAAATACAAATAGACCATGTATATGTATCTGTTCGTCTTGTTTTGTTGTGATTTATACTTTGCCAACTTAACCCAGAGTCGCGAAATGCCCAATAAAGGTCGTCATTCATTCCTCTATTTTATAACAATCATCTTGAAAGTTCATGGTTCATGGATAAATTGTAGGACTGTCGGATAAATTGTAGGACTGTCGGGCCTGATTGGAAAGGAAAAGATGATGCATGCGATAATTTTACCTAGCCGTTAGGGCATCAACACTGATCGAGCACAGCTCCTCCGCTGAGCTCATTCTCTGTTGAAATTAGTCTCTTCTCTGTTGAATTTAGTTCCTTCGTTGAGCACAAATTTTGACGTTTTGGTCCTTCGTACACTGGCGATGTGTCGAAATACGTCCCCAGGCATGCGTCTTTGGACGCCTTATTTTTGCCACAGACACTTGGTCGGAGAACGTTAGCCTCTACCAGGCTTGAGGAGGCGGCTGGAAAGAGTAGAAATCGGCCAAAATAGAGAGATAAGCATGTCAAGGGAGTTTGGCCGTTGAGAGAACAGTTCGCCGCCCCACGGCCCAGTCGCAAAGCAATAAAAGCTACTCACGGGCACCTATAAGATAGCGATTAGTAGACTTCAAAGAAATGGCGACTCCCGACAGGCTTGTGGGAGGGTCTGCATCGGGGGTCCTCATTACGCTTTACGCTAAATTTATGGAGGCTCGCAACGCTTTACGTTGAATTCCAGGAGGCCGGCAACGCTTTACGTTAAATTCCGGGAGGCCGGCAACGCTTTACGTTAAATTCCAGGAGGCCGGCAACGCTTTACGTTAAATTCCGGGAGGCCGGCAACGCTTTACGTTAAATTCCGGGAGGCCGGCAACGCTTTACGTTAAATTCCGGGAGGCCGGCAACGCTTTACGTTGAATTCCAGGAGGCCGGCAACGCTTTACGTTAAATTCCGGGAGGCCGGCAACGCTTTACGTTAAATTCCAGGAGGCCGGCAACGCTTTACGCTAAATTCTGGCGCTTCGCTACGAATAACGCTAAATTGAAGTTGGTGTTGCAACGTTGACTGATCAAATTCACCGACAACGTCGCAAACAATAGCTGTGACGTACACCTTGCAATGAAACGCGCATGCAAGGTACTTCACACAGCATTCATAATTTGGTACATGACTTTAGAACATTCACTTCACCAACCTGCATCTAAAAGTCGTACCACCGGCGGATCCAGAAATTTATGAACGGCGGGGGGCGCACCACCTGACGTGCGGCGCGTCAGCGCGGGGGGAGAGCACGAGAGGGGGGAAGTGGGGGGGGGGGGGGGCTCCCCCAGGAAATTTTTAGAATTGAGAGGCTCTCTGACATGTATATCCAAACCTTTCTTTACAATCTCTCTGTTGATGTCGGTAAGCTAAGATTTTATAGACATCTGAAACCTGTATACACAATGGAACGTTATCTTCACATCAAAGACTTAGATGTTAGATCAGCCATATGTAAGCTTAGAGTTAGCGCTCATACACTAGAAATAGAAAAGGGTAGATACAAACAATTACCTGTTAACGACAGAATATGTAAATATTGTACAGGAAACGCAGTGGAGGATGAAATGCACTTTATTTGTCATTGCTCTCATTATAGCACCGAAAGAGATCAGTTATTTGAAATGGTCACCAAAATGTTCCCCAGCTTTATTCACCTTCCCAGCCTACAGAAAACTGCATTTCTATTAACACCTCCCAATTTATATATCTCGCAAAACGTCGGCCATTTCATACTCCACTGCACACGGAAAAGAAATCAAACCCAACAATAACTACAAATGTATATATAAAGTAGCATTAGCATCACTTATTATCATTCTACTGTTTACTGTTGTTATCATGTTCTTGCAATTAGCCCTCGCGCATGAATTTGCAATAAACTTTCAATTCAGTTATTGCCAAGCTTTGATGCTGACATGATTACAGGCACACCCAGTATGTCGACATAGATCGCACAGTAGCTAAGAGCATGAAATCGGCATGGCGCCAGCACTGACGCATATGTGGCAGGAAAACCCATGTGTGTCACAAAGATCACAAACGCCCGTAAAGAAAAACGGCAAAAATTTGACAAGAGAGCAATAATTTGTATTTACTTGTTTAAACTATGAACGGATCCAAGGGGTGAACTCCCTTGTTTAGATTACTAAAGTGGCAAATTTTCAACCAACGCAAGTTTGCCGCTGTGGGCTTTAGAGGCCCCTCCCCTTTTCGGGAGCCGGCTGGAACTGTAAAGCACTTTAATTATTAGGCTGGTGACTAAGTACATTGTAACTCTTTGTATTTTTTCTCACCTTGGCAAGATATAGAATTAATGCAATTTAGTGGAAGGTGTTTATGTCCAGAGTTACAAGGAGAGATCTGTTGAACACGGGAGGAAACATATTTGTGCTACATACATCGTGGCGTGGGAATTGTTAAATAGGCCAGCCCATATATGGCGTCCCAGAGGGAAAGCCGACACTATGAAGGGGGCGGAACATCCCTTCTACAGACTGGGCTAAACACCCTGACGCCAGTGTCTGGGCGTCAAGAGACTGCCGCTGTCACTCACAGAAGGGCGGCAACACAAGTTGTAAAGAAGCCAAGGCCCCGCCTAGGCACGCCCCATTCTCCTGGGAGGGCCGCCACGTGCGTTACTTTGCTAAAAAAAAACATTTCTCACATTTGATCTGGCATTTTTGAACAAAGAAATGCAGTCACAATGCCGCTACGTTGTACTGAAAATTAGCGTAGCGGGGGAAAATTGGCGTAGCGGGTCAAAATTTTAGCGTCGCGGGCCCCGACGCTACTTAGCGCTAGCTAGAACCCTGTTTACATTGATATAACTATAATATGAAGTAACATACAACTAAAACAACAGTTGGATAGCTATTCCCTACTTTATTGGTTAGGATTTTTAATTGCATAATGCAAACTGTTGATTTTCAAAATAAAATAAAAAACGTTCATGCCCCGCATTCCAATGCTGGAGCAGAAAAGCTTGAAATACCTACCAAAACACTTGAATAAAGACATACTGTCAGTATGTAAATGCTCTAGATCTGTGCAGGTGTTAATCAAGTTAAATCCCAACAGCCAATCACAAGAAATGCTCTGTGCAGGTGGAAATGCTCTGTGCGGGTGTTAATCAAGTTAAATCCCAACAGCCAATCAGCAAGAAGTATAGAGGAAAGCTGCATGCCTATTGGTTGATGCCCTGCATTCCATTGTGATGACTCATGCCCAGACGTGGTAAACACGGCACACTAACACAGTAATACATTTGCTATAACACAGCCAAAAAACTCAAATAAAACCATTCTAAAAGCCTGTATCACAAAAATTTAAAAAACGCCTAGGGGTATTTGCCCACTGTACCTCCATACCAAATTTCAGGACCTTAGGCCCTAAAATGAAGAAGCTGAATCCATTTAAAGATATGGCAGGAGGAGGAGGAGGAGGAGAAGGAGGAGGAGGAGAAGAAACATCAGAAAAAGCAATATGGGTTCACCACCACTTCGTGGTGTGGTGAACCCATAAAAATTTTTCAAAGGCATGTATCAAAAAAATAGAAAAAAAACGCCTGGGGGCATTGGCCCACTCTACCTCCATGCCAAATTTCAAGTCATTTGGCTGAATGATGGCGGAGTTGAATCCCTCTGACTGTGTGGCAGGAGGAGGAGAAGAAGAAGAAGAAGAAACATCAGAGAACACAATATATTTCATCCATACCATGGTATGGACTGAAATATAAAAAGGAGATGCCGCCTCTTGACAGACAACCCGCCGGACCACCGTATGCGATAAAATGCGCACAATCACGGGCATCACGTGAGCCATCATGGCCATGGTGGGATTGTACCGCACAGATGGGACAGGCAAGAAAGGGACAAGATGAAGCAGAGATGAAGATGCGACTAAAATTGACTCCAGATGTGCAAACTAAGGCGAAAGCTAGCGCTAAGGATGACGGGAAATACTGGATCGCGCAAAGGGTGACGGGAGAACTACTCCCGGAAGCGAGTGGAGAACGTACGTACCGCGGCGCGCTGACTTCGCTTTCAACTCCTTGGCCTACAGTAGTGCTGCTACCCTACAGGGGATAGCGGCTCAGTTTACACAAGAAGGAAGCCAACGGCTCAGATATTGTTTCCATTTACGCTGCGCGCGGCAGAATAGCCCGGTAGCCAGAACTGTTTGTTATTTGACACTGGCACTGCATGTGTGCATGTGATTTTAGGATATTGTTGTGAAGTAATATGAAGCATTTGCGCTAAAAGCGCAGCCTGGCGCTGATCTGGGTACTGCAGCTCTCAGCTCACCTAGAGGGAGTGGCCGTCACGTGACCAACCTGGAAGTAAAGCACGGTTTGGAAAGAAAGAGGAACTTTTTCCCTTGTGTCGGTTTCTCCAGGCTAAAGAATCTTCCCTAGGACACTTTAAGGTAAGTCAGAAAAGTCTTGAGAGGATGTAGATAGATCCAGGGTCTTGTGCAAGGTTCTTTCTTAACTTTGGACACTTTTAAACACCTTAAAGTAAACTTTAGTTGAAATCCATTCTAGTCTTGAAGACGGGCTGTGGGGGTATTGAGGAGGGAAATCTTCAGTTTGATCAAAAAAACATGAAAGTGTGGGCGTTATTTTTCACCATTTTACATTATTATCCTCAGGTTTGTTTGTTTCAGTTTTATCTGTATCTGTATACCCGGTATATTAAACTGCCCTTTGGCATAATCACCAGTTGTGTTTGACATTATGAGTTAGGGTCATGATATCCATATCAGGGACACTTCTCTATTCTTTTGTTTTTTTCATTTTGCTGTGAACAGGGATATAAAAGGAGCCGAGTCACTGTGGGCCTGTTTGCCTTGTTACGGTTAACCACAGTGCCCAACAAAAGCACCTGTGACCTTTGGACCTTGTAACCAAAATGGCGAATGGAGCGGTTACCGCATAAACTACATAACTGATCTTCACATCAATTTACAGAGGATGCAAGAAAACATGAATGGACTAAATCTGGCCCAGCAGACTTAGGACATCACCAGGATACACCAGTGTGTTTGACAACAGCAAAACTACAGCAGAAAAACTCATGGATGAGAAAGAAAAGGTTGGTGAAACTCTTCTTCTCAAGTCCACAGTCAGCAAGAACAAACATAGCTACTAGCCTGGCTGCACCAAGTACTTAATAAGTAGAGAAATGCATTGTGAACCAATAGAAGCCTGGAAGGATGATCATCACTTCAATTGTCCAACTTTTGCAATGAAATTTGAAAGCTTCTTTAAAAACCCTTCCTCAGATTACATGTATATGTTGCAAGTAAAATTGTTTTTGGTGTTGGGAATAAACACAGTCAATGTGAATACACAGTTAATGTAAATAAGACAAATGTAAGTCTCTCTCTGTCAGTCAGTCAGTCTCAGAAAGACTTCTGTTTATTTTTTGTTTTTTTATATTTAAAATTTTTTTTCATCTCTGTTCTTCTGTTTATTTGTTATACCAGTAATTACAATGTATAGCTCAGGCCATTTTGGCCTGCTTTTCAGGTAACCCTCAACAAATACACAAAAATGGCATACAACAAATACACCGTACATATTAAACAATTAGTAAGATACAACATATTTAACATCAACTAATACTAAATCAAGTCCTATTCTTAATGACCTGGTTAAAAGTCCTGTGACTAAGGAGCTGTCGTTGCTGTAGCAGAAGAGTTCCACAGGTAAGGACCATTATTACTGCAGACTGCTCCGGTAGTAGTGACTCTTGCTAGACATGTCCTCATTAATTATGCAAATGACCTCCACATTAACATGATATATGCATAGTGGTGTTACCTTTAAGTAACTTACCTTTAAGTAACTTACACATGTCACAAGTTATAAAATTGCCATCATTCACCAATAAGGAGTCACTGAATTTTCACATTAATCATGCAAATTAGGTCATCGTTTGCATGATTGGTATATGTTGATGTTCTGCCTGCTACAGATTAAATAGATTAAATACATGTATGAAAGTACTATAATTATATAAAACACTGTAATTTATAGAATTTCCTTGTAACATACAGGAAATATATGTCAAAATTAAAGTACATTATGTAGTTGGAGCATAAAGTAGTTTTATAATGTCTGGATGTTTCTTTTTTACAGGAGCTGATAGCAGTAGCTGGGCGAGGTGACGAGGACAGAGTTAAACAGCTCCTGGCCGAGGGAGTCAATGTCAATGCTGCCAACAACAACGTAAGTTATTATATAACATTACGTTGTAGTACATAACAAATTCATGAAAGGGTTTTGAAACACTTTCAAGTGTTCAGTGTTACAGATGAAGTTGATCTTAACATCACAACTGTTACACCTCTTTGTGATTCTTTCAAGTTGAAGAATGATGCACGTAGATATAAACAGTGGCTTGAATTTTATATATTCCTTATATAAAGTTCAAGCCACTGTTTATATCTACGTGCATCTTCAACAATTTTCTTCATGTCGTCCAGGCATGTTCTTACACTAGACTCACGTCTGGAAGTTCCTGGAAGGCTGCAAAGATCACCCTTGGTAGATTTTGTTACATTGTCTGAACCCTAATTCTTACATGGAGCTCCTCTACCGTTGTCTCTGTACAGAAATGGAGTGCTCTCCACCATGCATCCGAGCACGGTCACACAGGAACTGTACAGGCTTTACTCACAGCTGGAGCGAGAGTCAACGCCCGAACCGTCAAAGTAACTTTGCTGTTTACTTCAGATTCTGTCTAACTGTGCCTGTCCTTAGTTTGTATGATAGTAAATAATAAACCCACCAATGTTGTGAAATTCAGGTACTGTGCTATACTCATAGGAACCGTTTGTTTTTATTTTACTTTGTTCATAGTATACTGTACAGGCTTTATATGGAGGATTGTCAAACACTTAGTCACTTAAAATACTGTAACTAAACAGCAACATTCTTCTCAACTGGGGAAGAAGTTCACTAGCACATTGTCAAGTGAGTTTATGAAACTTACTTTTCATCATTAAAGTACAGATGTTTACAGATGACCTTGATCTTTACATCAGATCATCTCTTTGTGATAGTAATACACCTTCACCTTCTTCATGTCATCCATCAGTTCTTACACTATACGGGAAGTTCTGCAGAAGTCATGGTAGGTGTTAGTACATGTCTTACATGGAGCTCCTCTACTCTTGTCTCTATACAGGGAAACAGTGCTCTCCACTCTGCATCCATGAACGGCTACACAGGAACTGTACAGGCTTTACTCACAGCTGGAGCGACAGTCGATGCACGAACCGTCAATGTAACTTTGCTGTTTACTTCAGATTCTAACTAACTGTCCCTGTTCTCAGTTAAATGTATTGGAGCCATAAGATGTAAGAAATGATAAAGCCACTGATGAATTTTAAGTATGTTCATGTGACTGTCAGGCACTAGGCTATACTCATGGGAACTGTACAGGCTTTATCTGAACGATTGTTGAAAACATTAGTCGCTTAGTAAATATACCTAAAATAACTTCATGTCATTAATGACTAACTACACGGGAAGTTCCTGGAGGGTTGCGAAGGTACATTTAGTACATTGTATGAACCCTAATCTTACATGGAGCTCCTCTACTCTTGTCTCTGCACAGAAATGGACTGCTCTCTACTATGCAGCAAACTACGGCCACGCAGAAACTGTACAGGCTTTACTTACAGCTGGAGCAAGAGTCGATGCACGAACCAGCATGGTAACTTTGCTGTTTCCTTCAGTCTGTCTAACTGTCCCTGTCCTCAGTTTGTTTGAAGAAACCACAAGGCATAGAAAATAATAATCATCCCGGTGTCTTATCAGGGCATTATTGCTGTAGTCTACTGGTTCACAGTCTGTACAGGCTTCACTTAACAGCTGAAGGCTACATAGATGACAAGTAACATGTCTGTATTGGTAATAATGGAGCCTTACTTGTGTTGGCCCAACTTTAGGAGGGCCTGCAAGGGGGGGTCCCGACAATGCTCTACGCTGAATTCGGAAACCTCTCGATTACGCTTTACGATAAATTCCAAATGGCTACACTGCATTACGTAGAATTACAACGGCGAATACACTCTACGTAAAATGGGAAGAGCGGTCTGTCTACGCTCTATTACGCTCTATGGAAAAGGGCTTGCAGGCCCCCCTTTAGGGTTAAATATTTGAGCCAGGACTTCTGTGAGGACTAAAGGAGCCTGTGTAGTCAATGGTTACATGGCTAGACTGTTATGACTTCAGTGTGTAGATACTTTAAAATTTGGCCATCTCAAAATTTGCTGTACCCACAGAATGAGACTCCCCTTCATCATGCAGCAAAGAGAGGACACCCCAAGTGTGTCAGTGTACTGCTGAGGGCTGGAGCCAACACTGTTATAAGGAACAATGTAAGTATGTTTTTGGACATTTATATCACATGTCACATAACAATCATTGGCACTGAGAAAGCAGACGTCACTATAATCGTGTATCTAACTAACTGATTCATGCTGAATGATGTTCTTAGATCTTCGTTGTATTATTATTTTAGACTTTAATAGCTGACATAGTAACAATCATTAAATCAAGAGATAAAATAACATCATCTTATGACAAACTCCTTTTTGTGCACTAAACAGAAGAAAGTCAAGCATCAATATGTTAAGATGATGTTTAGTGTTGTGAATGGCTTCATGGATGCAGGCTCATGGATGTGTTCATTGATTTATTTCTGTTTTATTTAGACATGAGGGTGGACACTCTCATTGCTATACTCGCTGCTTTCCAGACATGACTTTGTGTTGACTTAACCTACAGGATAAGAAGACAGCAGAAGAACTTGCAGTACAAGAGGATGTGCAGCAGGTGTTCCAGGTGTTTAAAGTAAGTAAAATACATCTATAATAGTTAGTAAAACATGTGGCTCATGGCTATTATACAGTGTGTTCAATGTGGTATATATCATGTCAAAACTTTGTTATACAAATTTTGCCTAAGGGATCACTTATAAAATTCAAAACATCAAAATCCTGTTCTTTACTGCAGGGTAAGACATCAGCAATGATTAAGCTTCTCAACATTGGTGAGCTGTATTTTTCCATTCTACAAGGTTTCTGATAGGAGACATTTTCGCCTCAGTTTTAATGAGCTTTTTTCTCACTAGCAATTCTTTTAGTGAATCAGATGTATTTTTCATTAAACAGCAACCATGGTTATCCAGTCCTGTCTTTTTCTGTACAGTGTCAATATAATATGTGTCTTTTTGTCACAAACCATTGTGAGTTCTCCTGGAATTTCTCTTAATTTCTGTGACCTGTCAAGTTTTCTTATATCATATACAACTGATAACAGGTTCTCTGTACACATTGTTTGACATAGAATGGAATGTCACTAAAAATGGAATGTTATAAACAACATTATTTGTATTGTACAGAAATATTATACTTGAATATATTAGGCCATTAATTTTAATTGATTGTTTAGGATTATGATATGCAAACTCAAATATTGCTTCATATTCCTATAGTAAGTATTCCTTTCTTCTAAGGGAAATATTTGCTTTACTAGTTGTATATATGCTACATGTTGTGAGATGTCTTTTCTGAATCCATATCTGACAATAATGCTCATTTCAAAACAATCTCTTTTCTATTTTTTTAGCTCTCCAACCTGAAGTGGTGAATGGCCTGCTCACTATCAACCTCTACAGCAGAGGACTGACCTCCGTGCCAGCAGAGGTGTTCGAGGTCAGAGATGTTGAATGTCTTATCCTGGCTGACAACAGGCTGAAGAGCATACCTGAGGAGATAGGGCAACTACAGAAGCTTCAAAGGCTTGAACTTAACAACAACCTGCTGACACAACTGCCCCAGGCAATCACCACTCTACCTAACCTACAGAATATTGACTTGTCACACAACAAGTTGGAAACATTGCCCGATGGATTCTCCAGGTTAAAACTTCAGCATCTCAACATCCAGAACAATGTATTCGAAGAGATACCGGAAGAAGTCTGTTCACTTCTTCAACTCAGGTACTTGGGCCTGGGAGGCAACCCTCTCAAGGGTCTTCCTGACAAGATATCTCAGCTCATAGAACTGCTAAGGCTTGATATAAATGATTGTCAGTTTGATGAGTTCCCCAGACAGGTGCTGCAGCTGGAGGGTCTAGAGACGCTACTCATGGGGAACTGGGCTGGGAAGGGCAAACCTTCGCTTGTACCTGAAGACATCGGCAGACTGAAGAACCTTAAAGACTTACGCATGGAGAATAGTGGCCTGGAGTCACTGCCGGATGGTGTTGGGGAACTGTCAGAACTGTTGGAGCTAGACATTGCTGGAAACATATTCAAATCAGTCCCTGAACAAGTCATGAACCTGTCCAACATCAGGGAGCTCAACTTGTCACGTAACAGGATTTCCCGCCTTCCCTTGAATCTGGGCCGAATGACCCAAATTATGAACATGTACATTGGAGACAACCCCCTGACATATCCCCCTCCTGATGTCTGTGAGAAAGGCACAGCTGTCATCATGGACTCCCTCAGAAGAGAGCTGAAGAAAAGGGAAGGTATGTACCAACAGGAAAGGCAAGATACCGAGAAGAATTTAATAAATTTATCAACTAGAGTTCAGAGGGCTCATGCCTTCGACAGTGTGATATTGTTTAGGTGGGTGTTGTGTGTATGTATAGTGTATGTTTTTTGAAGATGATTATAATCGTAGTTATAGTGGTCAGAGAGTCCTTTTGTGAACAAAGCAACATACTTTTTACCAAGCCTAATGGAAATACGGATCATAGAATTCGGCAAAAATGAGAAGAGAATTGGCCTGGGGAGTCTGGCTGCAAAAGGTTGTTTTCTTCCCTCCGATGCGTGGTGATCTTCAAAATGGCAAAACCTCCTTCAACTAAATAATTCTTCTATACAGCCATCGTTGTTGAAGCGTGCGATGTCCAATATACGGTGAAAACAATTGCACTACAAAATGTTCACACAAAATGGCCAATTGTTGTGATAGTATGTGGTATGTAAGATAAATGGGTTCCTCCCTGTGAGTCGCAAATTGTTAATCTCTCTAGCGGGCGAACTGCCTTTAGCAGCATACTTTTCCCTTTATTTTGGCCATTTTCTACTATTTTTCCAGCAATCCATGGTGCCTGGTGGAAAGTTAATCTTTCTCCACAGGGAGAAACTCATTTATCATACATGCCTTAGGGACTGTACGATATTTACTGGGGGGGGAGTGCCGGTCGTGCGGGGGTAGTGTAAAAAATTTTTTCCTAGGCCCTCCCCCCAGGTCAAAAATTTTTTTCCTAGGCCCTCCCCCCGGCGTGAATCATAGAGAGTGAAATTTCGTATGGGGAGGATGAGATTTTGTTTGAAAATTTCCCCGCATGAAGCGCCGAAGGCGCGAGCTATCGCGCCGCATGCGCCACTAGAGCCAGAGTAGGCCCGGCTTTTTTTGGGGGGGGG